CCTTTCATGCTTACTTTTCTTGCAGCCAAGGGGAGAATTTAAGTGACTATCTTTAAAGATTATTGCCTTGGCTTCCTATTATTAATGTTATCGTTTTAGTGGGCACTTGTTGTGCCTATGTTGGTTGTATTTATCTATCATTTGAGTTTGTGTTGTGTACTCATGTAATAATACAAATCTTTGTCCTGCTACTTGCTAGCCACTGTTATATCTATATGAATAACTTGGATTTGATTAATTATAATGTTTATGGTTTTCATTTTTGTTCTGTGTGAAGGAAATTGCATGTGAATGAAACTGTCATTCCTCAATTTACCTTATTTGTCTAAAAGGTTTCAAAATACAAAGCAGAATTCCAGCTTTGTTTAATGAAATTCATCCATGCAATATCTTGGCATTGGGGGTTTAGCCTTTGATTTTGCATAATAAAAGGGTATCTATAATATCATTTTTGTTCATTTAAATAAACTCCTTCTTTACCAACTTGGATTAGATCAGTGCGATAAGCAAGTCACACTCGCCTGAAGCTCAAATTCTGTAGAAGACAATTATTAAAGTGTATATAGTTTCTGGATCATAAGACCAAAACAGCAATTTTCCCCATTGAAGCCCGCAAAAATTTAAATTATATATATAGTTTGAGCTGATGCAAACAGTAAGTGACTCTTCTATGAGTTTAATTTAGATACTCAGTCACTAAAGGATTTTATGAACCAGTTTGAAATCACTCTAGTGATTATTATAAAAATCAATAAATTTTATATAACAGTATATGATTAAATGATAATGTTAAAAAAATTACATTGGCAATGTATTCAAATTAAATACTTCCTTGCTCAATACACCAATTGTTTGTTTTTTAGTCCAGATACAGCATGTGTTGACGGTAGAAGTTCATTTAATTTCTAATCATTTTCACCTTTGCATCTGCACCATATTTGCATAGCAAATAGAAAGATTTGTTAGGAATTCAATTTGCACCTCAAATTCTGGCAAGCTTGTCTGTAACCGAAAGTAGAAAAAAGCAGGGTCAGACAACAGTGGCAACACTCTAATAGTAACCATCACCTCGCTCCCTGATTGAAATGCATGTGAGTTCTCTCTTCCACTGCTCCACAATAACACTGTCCCTTAGGACCTTTACCCTTCAATTCTTCACAGAACTTTCAATTAACTTCATCTGGTTCTTGAAGTTGGCCTTTTCTTTTTAGTGTAGAATGACGGTACGAACGTTAGAAGTTATGATTTCATGCAAATTCCCATAAACTTCCTCTACTAAACCAACCTTACATTTCATGGTTATTATCCCAACCATAATTATTACATATGAGCTATTGTCCACTTTTGCACTCTAAGATGTCATAGCTTTTGCATCAACGGATTAAAAAAAAAGTGTTTATAAATTATCCTTGGTCTCAACTATGTTAGAATTACTGTGTTCGAAATATTATCAACTTTGACACTCATTAGACCATCATGATTTTGTACTTGAAAAAATGTCTAAATAAATTAAGTGAGGAAGATGTTTATAACTTACCTTTACTCTCCACTACTAAGTGATGTTGGACTTCATACCGGAACAGTTATGTTTACAAAGACTTGACACAACTCCATCATTCGTTCTCACATCCATGATTCATAGCTTGTGCACAAAAAATTAACAATCTTAATTATCAGCATTTTTTTTTTGTGAATTGTTTTGTTTTATCCCAAACTTGATTATCTTTACATGTTTATCCAAGCACACAATGACAGTGTCTCAAGTGGTAGCAAGATTCTAACCCCTTTGGGTTTTCTCATGGCTGATAGGTTAGCAATACCTCATAAGTTGCGGGGCCGTTGGACTTGACCACAGACAGTGCCTTGTGGGTGGATAAGAGGACTAGGCACTGCATGTGTAGTTGTTGAATTAAATTATTCAATACAAACTTTCTACAATACAATATAATTTTATTTTTCTCTATATCTCTCTTCATCACATCCTTATCATATTCTAATTCCACACTCCTTTCGTTTTTTTCTTCTTCTGATTTTTCATTGTACAAAACTGTATATACTTGTTGTACAAATTCAATTTCTCAAAAAATGATTTTGTCATCGTGAGCATATATATTCTTTCGTATTACACCACAAGAAAATTGTCATACAATAAAAACTACTTTTACCTACATAATAAATATAATATATATTAGTATATTGTTAAAAATGTGTAGGTATAAACAATAATGACACACAAAATATGTTGTTAAATCTCTTTCAAAATCAATACTAAAATTATATATAATTATATGTCAAATAGATATATACCTACACATATTATACCTATAGTGATACTTTTTGTATGTCACTATATGTAACATTTATTGTAGTATTAGCTCATGTCAAGCCAAGAACAAGGTTGATTTTTGGTTTTGCAGGTAAAGTCTAGCATTAGAGGTAAGGTACAAATGCCATTCCTTTTATTTGCACAAATGACAAGGTTAATATATATATATATATATATTTTATATAGATTAAGAAAGTTTATTAAATATGTT